TTACTTCGATATTAGCCTCTTATGTTACAAAGTTACTACCCTCTATTCCCCTTTCTACTCCACTGATATATTTTTTCGAACTGACTTATTTTTGTTTTCATATCACTTCAATTGTATTGGTTGTTTAACTCTTCTCACTAACTTTTGCTACTGCGATTGATCACTCTTTGGAATGCAAGTACATCGAGCTGACAAGTTGTGTTGGAGTTTTGGTTGTGGAGCTTTCATTGTTCTTCTTCTGAACAACAACATCATCAGTACAAACTTCAGATAGATAAAAGTGAAGTATTTGAATTTCTCCACAGATGACTCGTAGCTTTTTCTGTTTTCCATAAACTTGTCATTGTTTGTACCGTTATTTTGTGTGTGCCCCTCTTTGACCGATTTCTCGCCTATGATTTTTCTGATTGATTGATTAGTTGATAAATTGGGTCAGTGTCGATGTGTTTTATTGATTGCTAATTGAGCTGAGTGCAAAGCTCCTAATAATTCTCTGATGTTCTTTGTACTCCTCCGACATTGAACGGGACTTGAATTTTGATTACCACTGCTAGCCACCATCGATCTCTGCTTACTGAACAATTACCGGTGTAGCAGCAGCCTCTGCAGCAGCAGTAGGTCTCAACATAGATAAAGGAAAACGCTAAATTCTCCAATGCAACACAGCATGCAACAACCAAATCACTCTTGATGGACATGCCTTGGAGGACATTAACACCTTTACATATCTTGGCGGCATCATCGACAATCAAGGTGGATCCGATGCAGATGTGAGGGTGCGGATTAGCAAAGCAAGGGCTGCGTTTCTACAGTTAAAAAATATCTGATACTCCAAACAACTTTCAACCAAGACCAAAATCAGCATTTTCAATACAAACGTCAAAACAGTTCTACTGTATGGAGCGGAAACTTGGAGAACTATGAAAGCCATCATCCAGAAGATACAAGTGTTTATTAACAGTTGTCTATGCAAAATATTTCAGATTCGTTGACAAGACACCATCAGCAACAACGTACTGTGCGAGAGAACAAACCAGATTCCAGTGGAAGAGGAAATCAGGAAGAAGCGGTGGAGTTGGTGGATAGGACACACACTACGAAAAGCACCTAACTGCGTCACGAGACATGCGCTCACATGGAACCCTCAATCTCAAAGGAAAAGAGGAAGGCCAAGGAACACATTAGGCCGTGAAATAGAGAAAGATATGAGAGGAATGAATAAACACTGGACAGAACTGGAGAAGGAAGCCCAGGAAAGAGTTGATTGGCTAGAACTGGTGGGCGGCCTATGCTCCATTGGGGATAACAGGCGTAAGTAAGTATTTTCACAAATTACTATTATCATTAAGTATCTTTGTGGAAAAAGAAAGTGTATATTTGAAACTGTACGAATTTTTGGAAGACATTGACTCATAAAACAGCTCTTCTATAAGAGCAATCTTTCCTGATGTTTTTTCTCCTTAGTCTCAACGACTGTTTTCTTCATTGTAAATTTTTTAATTCTTCAAATTACTAAATAGATTTTTCTAGTAAAACAATCAATATTGTGTTATTTTTTTAAAAGAAATACATGTAACTACTGTTGTTGCTTTTCACAATATGACCTGAATTCATGTCTAGTAGTTTTGTTGAATCGTTCGTTTAATTTGTGTTTGCCCAAATTTGTACTTCTCTATATCTTACAAAGAAGTATTTGTTAATCTCAATTGATTAATTTCTCGCATTATCGTTTACAATTTTTAAACACCTGTGAAATTTTATTGTACTATTTTATTTACTTAACCTGAACACACTTCTTGAATGTGTACATGCACATTTACATATCAATAAATAGATAGATATACCATTGTGGTGTATACTACTCGCAATGTAGTTTTATAAGTAGTATGAGAGGGAGTTTCGCTGAGAAGTTATTGCTGAAGGGAAGAGTGTCGGATCTGAGAGTATGATGTGACCATAGTGCCTTGAAGACTTAAAGATATGCGAAACAAAACAGTCA